GGGGGAGGAGGTGTTTCTTCCACTGGTTCAGGAGGAGTTGGTTCAGCTTTCTTTCTGGAACTAGGTGCTGGAGATTCTTCCCTTCCTTTCTTCCCTCTTTTTTCTTTATTTAGTAATTTGGGTTTGGCTCGTTTAGGTGTGTCTTCACCAAAGGACACAAAGAAGCCCTCTATGGGTGGTTCACCTACAAAAGATAGACTAATCAATGAGCATTTAGATAAAGGTGCTGTCCTAAAAGTGAGCCCTGTCTTCGATTACCGCCACTACCAGAGCTGTTGGAACTCTTTGCCAGCAAGGCAGACAAATGTAGATATTAAGCTAATGATCACAACCCGTTTTTGGGGAAAGATGGCATATTTTTGGAAAAATTTCCTACCTGTGGCACTACTACTATCATCTTCTCCATCTGTAGAGCGAGGTGGTGTGTGGCTGTTTGGGGAGTCCACATAATCATCTCTAGAGGGTTCGCGAGGTAATGAGGCACTACGTGATGATCTACGATCAGTGAAACTAGTTGACATGGGAGGTGTGGACTCTCCGGTTGGCTGGCTGTAACAATCTGGTAAACCTAAAAATAAAACCAAGAAAATGTGGACCAGGCTGCCTAATAAGGGTACAAGCAATATATATATATATATATATTTAGTAAATCCTGTGGCTTACACCACTCTGTATTTGTGAAGTCAGGTCCATATGTATCAAAAAGAAATTCGTAAAGGCTCACCTTCTTGGGCAGCTTCCAATTTACTTGATGAATAGCCTTGAGCTTTAACTTTAGCAGCTGGCATCTGCCACTGTCCTCTTCCTCCCTGCTGATTGGAAGCAGCTTCATCTGAATCGTACTGCCTAGAATCATCTAGATGCTGATGGTGGCGACTAGGTCTGGGCAAGGTCTGGGCGTGTTCTGGAACTGACCGAGATTCACCTGTGGGGGTTCTTCCTGATCGCATCTGCTGTTCGTGTTGTAAGGACAAGTGAGCGATTTCTCCTTGAAGCTGGGTTAAACTTTGGTTCAGGCGGTCCAGTGATCCACCGTACTCTTCAACCGAGGGGTTACTTCCCCTGCTGTGTGAGGAATGTTCTGAACCTTCTGAAGGAGCTCGACGAGAAGCAGCTGGGACAGGGGATTGAGTTAAGGACCGAGACTTCTCTTCGTAACTATCGCGACGTAGGTCTGAACCACTGTCTCTTCTTTCTGGTAAACTTTGAGCCGAGGTGGACATCTCGTCCTCCGTTAACCATTTTTTCTTCACAGTGTCAATCTGATTTTGGATTCCATCCCTGGAGAACTTGGCAGCTGGTGCATCATGCGCCAATGAAGTTGGTCTTTGGGGTTCTGCAGATTGACTAGATTCCCCAAAGGATCTCTGACCCGGCAGTGACATCTGACCCAGACGTTCTCGAACATCAGCAGCCAAACGTTGACTATGAGAGGATTCTGGTTCTTCTGCGATGCTATCAGGACCATCTTTGTCCGGCAAATGCTTGGACACAACTTGTAAGAAAGCTGCTTTTCCCATCCTTTGCCGCATCTTCTGTTGCTGGAGCTCCGATCGATGCTTCTTCCTCTCAATTTCCTTCCGTTTTTCATCAAGCTTCATGCGAAGGGACATGAGCTCTGTTGCCAAGGGTTGTCCAGGTGATGACCCTTCGTCATCACTCACATCGTTATTCTGATTGGCCGATCTTTGAGCACTTTGTTGCCATGTTGTTTCATTGGGCAGCTGAGCAAAGGAGGTCTTCTTTGCTGCCTCCTGCTGTTTGTTGAGGAAGGAAGATTTTAAGGCTGATCTTGATGGATTTTCATCTTGGCCATGTTGCATGTACACATACCCCGAATTCTCCATTCCACCATGAGCTTCCTTCAACCGCTTGATCTCAGCAAAGTTGGTGGTGTGGGGTATCTTGGATCGATCGATGATGCTTGTGGAGGGTGGCGGCAGCTTATCAGTAATCACCAGCATCGGTTTGGATGTACCGTTCATTGATCCTGAAGGAGATGAGTTCTTCAGTTCCTCCATTTCCCTAGCTTTATGGTCATAATGAATCTTGTGGGACTCGTGATCTGAGAAGTCTCCTGAGCTTCTACTGCTAGCTACACTGCCTTCTCTGGAATGGAATCGACGATGATCATCCAGACCATCCACGACTGGGATTCCAGCGGCGCGAGCGCTATGCTGGGTATGGACCTGCTCTGGAACAGAGTAACTTGAAGTCACAGGTTCCTGAAGAGAAGCATCAGTATTGATGTAAAAGGAGTCAACTGATTTTCCAGGAGACTCCATAGCTGAAAGATTGTCCTCACTTAATGGATTGCCCGACATTTCATCAGGAGCAGGTGAAAGCGAGCTGAAAGGAGACTTCTTCTTTGGTTTGGTGGGTGAAGTCACCTTCTTCCTCCCATGACCTCTTTCTTCAGCTTTGGTGTGGTTGCTTACTCTTTCTTTGGATGTTTTTAGACGTGCCGGTGTCAAGCGCTCTGGTTCGTTTGTGGGGTTGGTAGGCAATGCGGACACTCGTGACCTTGAGCTGTTTGAGGTGACGCTTTCCACTTCCATGTAATCTGGATGGTTGGGATCGTGGATATTCGAATGACGCCCGGGTCTGGGACTGCGTGGTGTGAAATCTAGATCCACGTGGTCTGAGAAGCTCTCATGCACTTCAGAATCGATGCTGACATTGGCTAACAGTCGGCTGTCTCTACCTTCTGTTTGATTCAACCTGGAAAAAAGAAAGCATCCCTCGTTAAAGGACTTTTCCCATCTTGAGCGTTGATTATCTGAATCAATTTAATTTTCATGTCATCCATCAAATGCAAAATATTAGTTTTGGCATAAATTCCAAATCGTCTTCCAAAATGCTGCATGAGATTTCTTGGGGAAATTTTGTGCAGAATCCATCCCAAACCAAATTTTCTAGAATATACTAATCATAAGATATCAAAAGCTAAAAAACAAATCTGAGAAAACCACTGAAAAATGGACATAAACTGAAAAAGAATCAAAATAAACCTAACCATATAGTTTCAAGGCAAACATTCAAAAATAAACATGCAGGCAAAGAGAGAGAAGAATACAGAAATCGTAAAAACCAAACAAGACAAACCAAATACATCTACCACGAAAATTCAAAAGGGGACACAAGAAAACACGGAAAACCAAATATAAATGAAATTTCAAAAATTCTCAAACAAGGGAGACAACCTTTGTAAGTAACGTGACGTGTTATTGTTGTGGCGATCATCCCAGGCCAGCACGGACACGGACTCTTCCACGACCATGCCACGATCTCTTGGTGTACTAACAGACTGCGACCGTCTGGCTCCTTTCGACGAACCAGGACGACGCAGACTTGTCGCATCGTCTTTACTTCGGCGTAACTGTGGTTGCTGTTCATGCTGACGCTTTTTTAGCAAAGGGAGGCGACTCCCTCTCGATGATCTAAATAAAAAGTTCGAAGATGGGTGAGTGATGGAAGATGAAAGGAGAGAAACACTTTTTACAAGGATAGCATCTTGGGTTCACCAGGATCTTTTCTACTGACTGGTCCTTGATCTTTCCCCGGATTATCCGTAAGAAAGAAACAAGAAACAACTTAGGTTAAGGATCCTTTCTACCTGCTTGTCCCTAAACCTTTTGACATTGATCTTTCCTGGATTATCTGTACCCATTTACAGCTGGGTTGACTGGAATAATAAGGATCCTTTCTACCAGCTGGTCCTTGACCAAACTTCTTGGTATTGATCTTTCCCAGATTATCTGTACCCATTTACAGCTGGGAAGAATTCATAATGAGGAAAGATGACTGGTTGTGCTCAGAATCCAAAATAAACTAGAGCTGTGAACAGCTCTGGGTGTGGCTTTTGGATCTTTTCAACTCCTATCCTTGTGGCTTTCAACTCCAATTTCTTCAAGATATGATTGCTGCATAAGGTTAAGCTAAGTCAAATCAAGGAAACAAAATGAAACTCTGCAAATGGTCATTCCAAAAACAACATGGGGAAAAATTCACGATAAGTGGGATGAACAGAACAGGGAAACATTCAAGATGCATTCATTGGATAAACAACACAAAAATTGAAACAGAAGGAACTTATATCTTGTGGGGATCATGGATATTTCACTTGGTCCTGTTTTGCTTTTACTGCACATGGTTGCTTTGCCCCAAACTGCACAAGTATGACCATAGGATCATTAAAAGCAATGTTCACCTTCTCAATTGAGCATTTATATATATCAAAATTCCAGAATTAAAGGGGCTAGTCCACTTTGAAAATGTCAAGTAATTGAAAATTGGACAATCTAAAAAAATCTAAGCCACTTTTCCATCCAATTGAATATAATGATTTAAAGGTGTGTAACTATTTAGATTATAAATCTAAATGGGCATGCACCTTTAATGATCAATCTTAAGCATTTTTAGTAAAAAATACTACTAAGACAACATGCTTTTTACAATATTAGAACAAGCAAGCAACAGGACATGCGTTCGTATGTTAATCGTAAATTACCCAAAAAATATACATGACTTACGTTGTTGAAGATACATTGCGGTTATCTGCTGAGATTTCCGCGACGTTTTTCGAAAAACTCTTTTTAGTAGCACTAGAGATTGCTGGTAGGCCATTATGAGCTGAAATAATAAGATCGTCAAGTGCATTATGGGAATAATTTTCGAAAATTACTACATATTCACAAAAGGATCCTGTCTACCAGCTGGTCCTTGACCAAACCTCTTGGTATTGATCTTTCCCAGATTATCTGTACCCATTTACAGCTGGGTTGACTGGAATAATGAGGATCCTGTCTACCAGCTGGTCCTTGATCAAACCTATCGGTCTGGATTTTTTGTGCTGATTTACAGTTGGTTTCAGGAAAGATGACTTATTTACAATCTGTCCAAGATAAGAACCCACGACCACTATTCTTTGTACCTAAACAACTAAATGATGTCAGTGATCCCAACGCTTTAATAATCTATGTTACAGCAAGTCCTCGAGTTCAATTACTTGGGGTTTTTGCTACCACAAAACGTAACACTGCAGAACACCACCTACCTTCTGTGTCTGCATCCTTGTTGCCTGAACGCTGAACGCACGACGCCGGATTAAGTTCGAACCAGTAGAAAAGTTCGGCCAATAGCACTATGATATTTTCCCGCATTTTGTTGGTACTGTACAGCAGGTCCTCGTAAGTGAAGTGAAAGCACTTTGAGGGTAGATGTTTCTCACAAAATGTCCTCACAAGTCTTAAATTATACAGGGAGTCCGCAATTCCAACGTTTTCCTTCATGCAGATATCTGGAATGGAGAAAGGTGCAAGAATGTTTCATGTTTTTTGCCCCAGATCCAGGGCAGAAGACCCAAAGAATATGACCAAATGTAGGTTTGTGGAAGGTTAAACAATAAATAAACCAAGTACTAACGATCCCAAAGAACATATTGGTGAAACATTGGTAGCAGCTAATGATTTTTTCATATGAGGAAGTATATCAATTATAAGTGAGTCAGTATTTCAGAATGAAAAGTGGTATCAGGTGTCTAGAAGGTGCATTGAGGGTAATTTTGCCAGGACAGCAGCATTTGCCTGCTCTTTTTCGATTTCCGACTGTCCAGGGATCTTTAACGTGCACAGCCTGTAGCACACAGGGCCTCGGTTTATTGTCCCATCTGATCGACCAGACGCTTTTTCCATGTCAGCCCCTCCAACCTGTATCACTGACAGGGGGAAACCGGGTTGAACAATCCGAAGGTATTATCTCGACCTATGCCAAGATTGAACCCTGGACCTTCAGCCACTGCTGCTCCTACCATGAAGATGCTGTCCAATCCCAAAAAAGGATTAGCGATAGCTGCAAATGAACCTTATTCTTATTGAGTGCCGTCTTTACCTGTAAACTTAAGATATTTGGGACAGTAGAAAGTAATAAGACAGGCAAGAGAACAACCATCACCAATATCTTCTGAGAGATTCTCTATCACAGGGTAAGGTTCCCGTCCTGGAGTCCGACTTTTTATTCTGACCTGAAAAATATACCACCCTCATTATTAATTCTGACTTTTGGCGCAGACTTGGGTGCTCGATGCCTTATAAGGAAGATCAATCTAATTTTTGGTTCTTTGTTTTTGTCTCTATTGTAATCTAACATGTTTTCTACAACAGTCTTGTTCTAATGACATTATTCTTAACCAATCAAATTGTAGAATCCGATAGAGGATGTCATACACTTTGTTATGCTATTTAGAATCTGGTTCTACCAGACAACTTCTTTGATTGGTTTGGAAAACAGAGTAAGAAGGGGCACACCCCACCTTGAAGATCAGTCCTTACCTTCTGACTGGTCTCTCCTTGAATGACCTGATTGCCCACAGCAAATTGAGAAGCACTACAAATCTTATTGATCCAGAACACAATAGAGTCTTCAACAGTGGAGGGCAGCTCACTGGAAGCATTGAATGTGGTCACTCTTCGTACTGCCTGGACCACATTCTCTACGCTGGCTGTCTCTGCTGCATACGCCATCATCAAGCCATTGATTAAAGCTAGATGCCCCTTCTGAAAAAAAAGGAGAGAAATACGCCATCAGTACATTGATTAAAGATAGATGTCCCTTCTGAAAAAAAGCAAAATATACCATCATCAAACCATTTATTACAGCTAAATGTACCTATTTTAGAGTGTCCACAACATGATTGGTACATAAATGGCAGAGGCAGCCATTCTGAATGTCACATGATATCAACATCAAGTCCGATTGGTTAAACAAATATCTATCACCCAATAAAAATACCCTTGACAGGAGCAGACAAGCGAATTTAATCACCAGCATAAATATTCGGCTGAAAATATCTAACTTTTTTTAAATGCCAGCGATTCGTACGGGCGTAAAAAAATCGCTGTCCATACAATGAAATTTTTGACTGACTTTAAAATTTGCCACGAACAGGCCATAAAATACGCTTCTTTTCCCCAAACAGTTGATCAAAAGTAATGTAAAAGTTCTGTTAAATCCTTACCACATGAAAGGGAGCTGTTTTCTGTAAAACTGTTTCTGTAACAGCCACATCATCAGAGTCTGTTACATAAATAGACTTTCTGGATAGAATATGTAAAATGGCTGAATGACCTACAAACAGAAGAACCAGAATTTCAAATCTCTGTAAAATTCATCATTCAGATTAATCATTCTATTAAAAAGATTGTAAGGAAGTTTTCTAAATTTTATATGTGTATCAGGGACACTGATAGCATCAATTTACATCATTCCAATTTTCAATCAGACGTCTGTGGTTCCTGTAATTCCACTAAAACTAAATGTTTGATGATGTCACTAATCACAAAGTCCTTATGTGATAAAGCATATTTTACGATTAGTGATGTCAGCAAAGAATTTCAGGAACCACAGACGTCTGATTGAAAATTGGAATGGTGTAAATTGATGCTATCAGTGTCCCTGATACACATACACATTTTTTTTTAACAATTTGTTACCTACCATGCCTTTGCAGAACAGTTTCTGGAAAAATATTTGAGCAGGCATTACAATAGACCTCACTGGATGATAGAGCATTGACTAATATAGGCTTGATTAACCAGCTCCCTGTATCGGTCTCGTAGAAGGGATCTGTGAAGTCTGAAGGAATGTTGTTGCCATAGGCTTTCTGAAGAACCCACGATATAGACGCTCTTATCCTGGCCTGGAAAGACAAAGAACATTTTTTGAAAATCATGAAAGCTGAAATTCTAATCTACCGATGGTCAAATTTGGATTAAAAACTCCTAAAAAACCAAGAACTAATGATCCAAACCGCAAAATGAAACCAGCAATCCAAAATAACATGTTATTCAGTCAAAATTTGAATGAGTAACGTTGAAAAAAATCTGATGAGATATTGTGCCATCTTATTTTAATTTGTCAGCCACCTGGATCACTTTCCAGAATGAGAATTCAGCACCCAGTTCATCTACAATTTAATATGCATGAATTGTCAGAGTAGTGATGTAAATTTTCAGAAATTTATCTTAATTTTTACATGTATAAAATCCAGATTAAAACAATCTGTTTTTGATTTAATTGCGGATGAACTCATCTCCAATTTTGATTATGAATAGAGCTATTGGTAGCTGAAATTGAGCTCTATCAACTGATACCAACCATGAAAAGTAATTCTGTCTGATTGTCCACGGACGGACAGGATTTTTCTGAATCACATTGACACTTCCTTCCATTGATAACACTTATCATACACATAATATCACTTAATCCTAGCAAGATTTGGACTTTCAACTTTTCACAAAATTCAGAGCACTAGATTTATGTAGTCCAATATTTTGAATACTAAAAATATTTTGATTAATTCGTCAATTTTAATATTTGTATTTAAAAAAATTCGAATCTAATCCAAAATCCACAAAAAATCATTTACAAAACCACAACAAAATACACAAATACAAAATGATGACTTAGGTGTATCAAAAATTGTATTTGTATCCAACATACAACAAATTCAAAAAGTATTTGTATAAAAAATTGTATTTGTATCCAAAATACAAGAAATTCAAAAAGTATTTGTATAAAAATTTGTATTTGCATCCAACATACAACAAATTCAAAAAGTATTTGTATAAAAATTTGTATTTGCATCCAAAATACAACAAATTCAAAAAGTATTTGTATAAAAATTTGTATTTGCATCCAAAATACAACAAATTCAAAAAGTATTTGTATAAAAATTTGTATTTGCATCCAAAATACAACAAATTCAAAAAGTATTTGTATAAAAATTTGTATTTGCATCCAAAATACAACAAATTCAAAAAGTATTTGTATAAAAAATTTGTATTTGTATCAAAAATCTACGAAAAATCATTTACAAAACCTCAACAAAATACACAAATACAAAATGATGTCTTGGGTATATACAAAAATAGCAATTGTATCCAAAATACAAATATAATTTAAGCCAAACTTAATCCAACGAAAAACACAGCTAAAATGATGAGTTAGTCAACGTATTTGAAAATGTCACCTATAATGATGACAGTGTGTCAACAAATGATTACTAATATAAAGATATATAAATCATTTAATACGTATTGATGAATCAATGTGTATCAGTTATTTGAAACAGACTATAGATAAATATTTACCTATATTGTACAGTAATCAATTTTCCAACACTCCAAAGGGACAATGAGTTATTTTTTTTTTATTGCGGTTATATTTTTAGGCTTGTGATTATACAGCTGTACCCATCCTGTGTGTGTCCCTTATCACTTTTAAAGGCCACGTTCCTTAGCCCTTATTAAAACAAACCCTCAACATGACAATGTGTTATTCTTTTTTATTGCAGTTAAATATTTACTCCATTGAACTTAAGGCTAGACATTTTAAAGCTATACCTGTGTGTGTCCCTTATCATTTTACAGGCCAAGTTCCTTAACCCTTTTAATAATAGCAATCAAAACTAGTAATGGCTTAAATATGATTCTAATGTGTGTTGAAATATTTTAGCCTTTTTAAATTCGACTCATTAAGTCAAGGAAAAGAGTCAAAATGGTTGTGAACTACGTTTGTATGTGTTATATTCATGAAATAACCATACATAGTTTTATATGAAGAGTTCTTCAATGAAGGAGGTTAGTTTTTTACCTATGACCTAATAAGGTAATAGTATGAAATAGACTATAGGTCATGAGTAATACTAATAAAATGTAGTAAGTTCAAAAATCAATAAGTTATACTGGTTATTAGAGTTTATATAGCATATACCTGGTTAGTTATTCAGGTAGTCCAACGAGGGGGAAAAGGGAGGGAGAAGGGGGAGAAAGAGAGGTAAGGGGGGAAGGGGGAAGGAGAAGTTAGATTGGTTATTAGAGTTTATATAGCATAGACCTGGTTTGTTATTCAGGTAGTCCAACGAGAGGGAAAAGGGAGGGAAAAGGGGCAGAAAGAGAGGTAAAGGGGGAAGGGGGAAGGAGAAGTTAGATTGGTTATTAGAGTCTATATAGCATATACCTGGTTTGTTATTCAGGTAGTCCAACGAGAGGGAAAAGGGAGAGAAAGGGGGGAAAGGGGGAAAGAGGGAGAAAGGGGGAGAAAGGGGGAAAGGGGGATGATTAGTTAGATTGGTATTTAAGTCTATAAACCATATACCTGGTTTCTCATTCAGGTATCAAGGGGCAAAGGGGAGAAGGGGAGATAAAAGGGGGAAAAGGAAGATAAAAGGGGGATAAGAGGGGGAATGAAGGGGAATGAGAAGTTAGATTGGTACTAGAGTCTACATAACATATACCTGGTAGGTCAACTCAGCGAACAACTGGATAAAGAGGGGGAGAAAGGGGAAAGAGTTGGGGGAAAGGGGAATAGGGGAAGGGGTATTGTCATTTAAGTATCAAAGGGTAAAGGGGGAGGGGATCAAAGGGGAAGTGAGAATTGAAAGGAAGATCAAAGGGGAAATGGAAGAAAGAAAGGGAAAAGGAATAAAGGGGGAAAAAGGGGAAAAGCTGCTAGGGAAGTCAGGGGGAAGGTGCTTCTAATGGTATTTGTAAGATGAACATGGGGATCCTTGGACACAGCACTGAACAGAATACACTGAAGCACTGAATAATGGGCAAGCTCTGAAGATCACTAGCATAAGCAGAAGAAAGCAGTGCAGCACATCGCTTAATATCGCTTAAAAAAGATCTTTTCACCTTAAAAAATTTGGCTTCCTTTTTGGAGAGTAAAGACAGTGCTTCCTTCATTTCAAAGAAATTCGCTTCTTACTTCTTCACTATGGGTAACCTCATATACTTGTCCTGATGATGCTTTCATATCCAAAACATGTGATAACTGGAACATCTAATCACCTAGACATCAGAGCTTGGAATTGTCTGGTATTCATGGAAAATTTTCACAGCTATCTTTAAGCCATTACGCATTACAATTTCAAACCTTATTCATTTGCCAATAATTTGTCCTGATGAAGGTTGCATATCCGAAACATATGATAACTGGAACATCTAATCACCTAGACATGAGAGCTTGGAATTGTCTGGTATCCATGGCAAAATGTCACAGCCATCTCAAAATTATTACACACTAGAAAACTTCAGGCTTCAGATCTTATTGATTTGCGGTGTATTCGAGTGCAGTCTACATAAAATCTTACTCCGTTGTTCAAGCATTACATAAAATCTTTCAAAAAATTGAATCTCAATCCACATTTTGCAGACGTTGCCAGGATGAGAAAGCAGAACTGTCAATGACCTTCACCTTCTTATGTCATATGTCATTTGTAGATAGTGTTGTCAAGTCCCTCGCCATTTATGAGAATTAAGTTAAATTGTAGACTCGATTGTTGAGTAAGGACGTTGGATAAGCTTCACCTTCTGATGTCATTTGTAGATAGTGTTGCCAAGTCCCTCGACATTTATGAAAATTAAGTTAAATAGTAGACTCGATTGTTGAGTATATTGCTATTTCAAAGAAGTTAGATAGTCTCCTTTTTCCAGTAATAATATAGATACAGAAACGTAGACGTTTTTCATTATATATTGATACAGACTGAAATTGGTAGATATTATTTTCCAGTAAAAATATGTTAGTAAAATATAACGTAAGTTAATCTAGTCTACAACACCGATATTAGTAATATAATCATATTAAGCACCTGGTTAATCAAGACTCGAAATATAATTATCCAGTCTTCCAAAAACCATTGTTAGTAGTTAATCCGACACCATGTTAATCAAGACTATTATGAAGTCAGAATTATCAAGTACACTCACGCTATAGTCCTCTTCAAGGAGAACTCCGTCATAAAAATCTTCGATATCATTTTTCTCTGAGATTAAATCTTCTTGTTCAAATTCAGCGTCAAGGGTTCTAATCTCCTTTCCTCCGAGAATAAAAACTGAGTCACTTTCGTCAAGACTGTCGTTTTCAAAACTAGCGTCACTTATAAGCGAGTCACATTCCATCTTTGGCGTTTCGGGCTTTTTTTGGGCTCTAAGTCATTCCGTCATACACTCTTTGATTAATCCACAATTCAACACATGCAAATTATTTTGTGTTCATCACTAAATGAAAAATGAAATTGTCGTCTGCTATATTCCTTATAAGGTATTACATCTCCACGATCTTTAAGACTGATTCCTCATGTAATTTAGAAAGTTAGTATGACCCAATAAATCAGAATCGATAACTTCTTTTCTTGTCGTCTGCTAACAAAAAAAATATTTCCCATAAATAACTTTCAAGTCTGCTTTTCATATGACAACTACATTGTGACAATAAAAATCAAATTCAACCCAGATTTTCTAAAGGTGGGGACACACGAACGGTCTTGGTCGACGATTTTTGTCGCTGACTAGAGACTTGTCAAGGGTCTGAGACAAAAATCTGCAGTCGGTCGTTTTCCACTATGTCGATAATCACATGCGGATCATGCAATTGAAATGAAATAAATCTGATTGGATGATCAAAAAAGCAATCCAAAAAAGCCTAGAATGCCAAAAAGCATAAACATTACTATACCATCAAAATTACATTTTTTGTCCCAAAAATGCACGACACACAACGAAAAATTTAACATCCAAAACTAAAACAACACAGATGAAAGCAAAAGTCCACTAGAAAAGTATGTCAACAATAAACCTTAATAGAATGTAATATATAGTATACCAGGGGTAATATTATCAATAACAGACAATAATCCCAGCTAATCCTTTAATCCCCCTTAATCCA